CTGCCTCTCCGGGCAACCCTGGTGTTGGACAAAGTACCCAGGGGACATAACTGAGATAGAGGAACTCCTCCTTCTTCTCCCACCCAGGTCTCAGTAATGCATGCCAGGTTGGCCCCCTCATCCAAAATTAAGTCATGGATGAGGACAGTCTTCTTTTTTGCCGACCTGGCATTTACCAACAGTACCATGTGGCCCGGGGGGGTGGCTGATGTGGTCACCTGGTACCGTTTGGCTGGGAGTAGAGCTAGAAAGGGGGATAGGGGTAAGGTATCTAACCTCCTTTCTCCTAAGCGGGCATGCCCTACTCCCACCACCATATCTTCCCCTGCCGTATATTGTCTCTATTGGTTGCCCCAGAGGCCCCTCAAACCCCCCTGTTTCCCAGCTTGTTCCTCAGCCAGTTCCCTCAGGGAATCTGGCAGCCGGCGGGAGCCCAGCCATAGTCTCACCATCTCTCACTCATTGAGCTGTAGAAGGCAGATGTTGTTCGGATCCCCTGAGCACAGGAATGCTGGTCTGGTGGGGCCCTTGAAGCAGCTCCAACTAAAAGCCTTCTTTTCCCCTTGAGCCAGGTGGCTGATGTTCGGAAGGGGGAGGCAGCCAGAGGCAACAGGGCCCAGTCCTGCAGAGCAGAGGGAGACTTAGCCAGCTCCCTTAGCAAAAGGCTGGCAGCCGCCCAACTACCTTTTGAAGACATGTCAGGTCAAGAAGTTGTTCTGAGTACAGTTTCACAGTATAAAGGGAGGATGTTTGAGTAAATTTGTTTTTCCTGCTATGTTAAGCAGTTGGGAGTAAAAGAAATCCCTGACAATCTCCTCTGACTTGATTACTAACAGGCATTACAGTGTGGTTTGTCCTACTCTTTCAAGCCATATAGCAACTCTGGGAAGCAAAAGCTAGCCCTCCACAGGTCCTTTCAGCTCTCAGAGCAGGACGGTCTTTTCCAGAGAATCTTGCATTTTTATGATGTGCCCCAAATAGGTCAACCTCCGTTTTGTCGTTTTTACCTCCAGAGAGAGGTCAGACTTGATTTGCTCTAGGACCCATGTGTTCACCTTTCTGGCAGTCTCAAAACATTCCTCCAGGACCATACATCAAATAAATCAGTTTTTTTCCTCTCAGCCTTCTTCACTGTCCACCTTTCCTACCCATATACAGTACAGTGATTGGGGATACAATAGCTTGTATAATCTTGGCCTTTATCTCCAGTGACACTTCTTCGCACTTGATATTTTCTAATTCTTTCACTGCTGCCCTTCCAAGTCTCAGTCTTCTTCTGATTTTTTGGCTAATGTTTCCATTTGTATCAATGACTGAAGCAAGGCACACAAAACATTTAACAATTTCATTTTCTTTGCCATCCACATTAAAGTTGTGTGGTTCTTCTGCAGCCATGATTTTTATCTTTTTAATGTTCAACTGCACTGCTGCTTTGGTACTTCCTTTTTTCACTTTCATCAGAAGTCATTTCAGGTCAATATCTGCCATTAATATAGTGCTATATGCATATCTTAAATGATTTATGTTTTTTTCCATCAATTTTAACTCCTCGTTCATTTCAATCTAGCCTGGCTTTCCGTATCATCTGCATCCAGACTGAACAGAGAAGGGAATAAAATGCACCCTTTCTGATTTATTTGCTCCTTGTCCACATTACAGGTCATGGTTCATGACAATCAAGGTGGCTGAAGCACACCCATTTCTTTTAGAACACCCCAACATGGTTGGGGTGTGTGTGTGAGTGTGTCAAAAAGGCCAAAAGGAAGACTATCAAGAGGCTAGACTGCATTATGAGTCTGGGCTCAGCAGGATCACCGAAGGCAGAATGATCACAGTTGTGGCAGAAGATGAGGATGCATCTACCCTCTTCAGAAGTAACAGCCACACGCGCAGGAGAGAATGGATAGTTCCAATGGTGATAGGAATGGAGATACATCTGGACGGCAGATGTTAACTGAAGGTGACGCTGGTGGAGGATCTTTCACAGACAATAGCAGTGACAGTTGAAGGCAATGGCAAACCACTGCTGAACGTTTCTTACCTTGAAAACTGTTTGAGACGGCGCCCTTAGAACTGCATAACCCTGTAACGAGCAAACCAACCATGTATCTCTGCATTCCCTTTCAAGATGACAACCCACACAGAACAGTGAATAAAATGCGTCCAGAGCCTGAAAGCCAGGCTGTATCCACAAGTGGCAGGCTGTCAGAGCATGAGTATCAGGGAACCAGGAAGTTAGATCCTGACAGGCTGGAAACAGAGAGCGGTTTCCACACAGAACTACATGTGGCCATAAGGTGATGATAACACAGGACCTTGCTACACATGCAGCTACTGCAAACATCAGGCTTCAACTCATGCTTCCTACATGTTGACAATTCTCTCTACCACCTGTAATAACTAATGAATCAGCAATGGTGGCCTGATGGGGCTCCCTCCCAGAATTTCCTGCAAAGGTAGCATTTGCTTCTCCACTTCTGGCACCAAAATGTCTTAGGCTGCCCTTGGCAGCAAGTGGCCTACAAGTGAAGGATTCTTTGATGGTTTAAGAATGAAGATGAGAAACTTTCTCATCTATCACACCTCAGTCCTGAATCTGCACAAGAGGTCAGAGCAACTTGGATTCAGAAGTTACACAATTTACTTTTACTATCAGGTGTACACAATAGATATTTTGAAACCAACAATAAGCTCAAATTTAATATTTTTAGTTTCTCATCCTGCTATTTAAATAAGTAGTTTAAGAAATCTCAGAGTTGAGGCTGACATTAAATCCTTCAGTATCAATATACTGTATCACAGCTTTCAAAAGAAACGTAAGCCCCCATACTGTTTCATCTACCCACATGAATTATACACAATTGGGTGTTAGAAGAAAATTGCTTCCTAGATTTCAACAAGATTTTTAGTGCTGATAGATTCTTTGTATATGTTCAGTTTCCATAGCATTGTAATAGAAATACTTTGGTAACAGATGCATATTATATTTGTTCAATTGCCCTCGTTTAATATGCCTCATTAAAAGGCATATATTCAATTCAGTGCATCAATTATTCCAGCCTGAATATGTAGTTTTAAACTGATTCTTAGACTGCTCTAAATACTTGATGCTCTGTAAAAAAGTATGGCATTACTCTGATGTTTCAGTGGTATAAGACTGGATATCAAATTTGTTCTTATTGCATGACTGTTTTTTTTTTTAAAAAAAACATGTTCAGGTGACCATGTTCCAGTTAGATAGGATTCACCTCAGTTACAATCATAGAGCTGTAGAGATGGTATAGACACCAAGTGTCATTGAGTCTAACCTTGTGATAAATCAGGGAATCCACAATTAAAGCATCCCTGAGAGATAGCCATCTAATGTCTGTTTAGAGACTGTTGGGGATGAGAGTCCATTGTTAAACAGCAGTTCCTTTCAAGACATTCTTCCTAATGTTTATGTAAAATTTCCTCTCATAATCTGAATTCATTACTTCACATTCTATCCCCCGGAGCTGCAGAAAATATGCTTCCCCATGACAGCTATTCAAATATTCCTCACAGGGCTTGGTTTCAAGGTCTCTTATCATCTTGATATTCTTCCTTTAAACATGTTCCAGTTTGTTGACAGCCTTCTTAAACTGTGATGTTCAGAACTAGACACGGTAATCCATATGAAGTCTGAACAAAGCAGAACAGATGATTCTATTGCTTCTCTTGATCTGGACCTTCTAATTCTGTGGAGGTGCTAGTTTTACATCTCCCCCGCTGCCTGCTGCAAAACACTGCCAACTCGTGTTTACCTGTACTACTGCCGAGAAAGCTGTCATCCATCTTGTATCAATACATCTGGTTTTTCTTGCCTAAATTTGGAACTTTACATTTCCCATGTTGAACTCATTTTATTTGTTTTGTCACAATTTGTTTAGGTTGTCTTGAATCCTGATTCTGTTCTCTGAAGCATTACATAGCCCTCCCAGTTTGGAATCATCTGCAGATTTGATGAGGATTTCCTCCACACCTTCATCCAAATCATTTGAAAAGAGGTTGAAAAACTCTAGGCACAGGACAGAATGTTGTAGTGCCCTACTCGTTATTTATATCCAGGATAATGAGAAACAATTGGTGAACACTCTCTGGGTTCACCCTTTCAGCAAGCAAAAAATCTACCTTATTGTTGATGGCAAGAATATCTTTCCAAAGCCTCTCAGAAATCATGATACACTATATTGACACCATTCTGATCCTCTACCATGTTTGTGACTCTATAAAAAGGGATAAATATGTATAATTAAAATAATAAGTATAACCTACTTCTTAGAAGCCCATGCGGGGTCTAAGAAATCTCATGATGCTTTTCTACATGCTCACAGGCCAACTGTTTCCCATGCTGCAAAACTTTTCCTGGGGTCTGTGTCAAGCTGCTCAGTCACAAGTATTTGCTGGCCACCGGTTTGACAGACAGCGCTGGGATCAAGAATTCTGCCTCAGAGACAAGCACGTTTTTTTCGCATCTTGATTTGTAAAAATGCATCGCTAGTTACGCACAGCGCCTCTGAACGCACACGCTGGGAAAAAACAGGAAAAAATAAAAAATAAAATAAAATGATGCTTGCCATCTTTCTAAACTGAGTTTGGAGTTTCCGTGCACGGGGAGTTCATTTCTGTCACATGTGCAGATCTGCAGAAGCTTTCCCGGGAGTTAAAAACAGTGGGGAAGAAAAAGCTAGAATTCAGCCGGGACAAGTCTGCAATGCCCCTCGCTTTCCTTTTGAGGACATGGTGGCACTCCCGTGGCATCCGCAGTGCTGGCTATAAAGTGAAGCGTGGCTGCCATCCAAGAGGAGAGATACCCGTTACTTTAACTCCTACTTGGCTTCTGCACTTTTAACGAGTCTACTCCCTGGACCAAACTCCTGGAAAGAGAGCATTTCTTTTTCCACCTTCCCTGCTGGCGCAGGCGTCTTGGGGGCAGGACGAGCTCCTGCTTTTTTTTTTTTCCCCATTGGCAGCGGCGGTTGGCGCCCCACGTGCTGCCGGCCCTTGCTGAGGTCTCGCGGAAGCTCGCTCGGCGGTTACCCTTGGCAACCAAGGCACGCGCCGTAGCTACGAGCGGGCCGGCGCTCCTTGGGTAGCGCGGCCACCCTGAGGGGGGCAGAAGCTGAGGCGGTGGCCATGGAAGAGGCCGCGACGGCGACGAGGACGACCGCCAGCACCACAACGGAGGGCACCTTCTGCCTGCACCGTATCCTTCGGGGGTGGTGGTTTGTTTGTTTTTTTTAGCCCGCTTCGCTCCCTCCCTCGCCCTGAGGAAGGGCCGAGTAACGGAGAGAGAGAGAGGAGTCGGGGCGATAGTCTCTTGGGTTGGGAGGAGGACTCCGACTGAATAGCCTTGGGAGGAAAGGGGGGGAAAAAAGAAACCCCACACAGAAATACTGTATCTTGATGCCGTTTCATACGGCAATTGAACAAGACCGTCGGCTCCATTAAAACCTCTCCCCCGTTTTGTGTATACTGTATACCACTCTCTAACTAGAGATTCCTGTCCATATATAATTAACTGTGTACAGTATTCAAAACTGTATCATTTGCCTTGCTGTATGTGCCACTGAACTTACTCACATTTACGTTTGAGTTGGAGTGCATGAGAGTTTTCCGTGTCTATCTTTTAAAGTTACTTTTTAATTCTTTTTTTTTTACCTGTAAGACAGCAGGATAATTATAATTTGATGAGTGGGGAGTAGTTAAATATCTAGCTGCGAAGCCAGAGATTGGGAGGTCCCCACCATGACTCCAGGGAGAAGGGCCAAAATCACTTTTGTTTTTTGTAGGGGTGTTTTTGGTGGGGGCTGTTTGGCCCTGTTCTTCAGAACATGGCCAAACAGCCCCAAAAACCTACAACAACCATCAGATCCTGCCCCTGGAGAATACACTTTTAAGTATTCTATAAATCAGAATTGACTTAATGACTCACAATTATATTATTAAAGAAATCTAACTTAGGCCAGGGACTGACTTTTTGTGTATTTTGCATCACATCAAGAAGATTGGTGTTGTGTTGATTACATAACAATCATGATTTTACATTAAAACAACAACACAGAGAAAATGTAAAGGAAACAAAACTTCCTGTTACCCGTTGCAGGTTTATAAAGTTAGGATAATAATACCATTTGTTACTATTATCTTTACATTTTGTAATGGTGATTAATATCTTTATACTTACTTTTTTGCTTCCGTCCCTTTTAAAATTTTATCTGTATGAGGTCAATATTAATATAAAATGTATGCTTCGGTATTTCTGTCTGGTGTGATTGTTTTACCATAGATAACCTGATTCCTTTTGCTAACAGAGCTACTGTGTATTATAGTAAAATAATGTGAGGAGGAATAGTTTTCTTTACAAAATCCTACCTGTAGGAGATTGCTGACCAGGCAATCCCACTTTTCTGAAAGTAAGCCTTACTGAACGCTGTGGGATGTGCTTCTGAATACAATTGTGCTGGTAATTTTTTAAAAGTGCTTTCTATCTGTCGCTGTTTCTTTCCATAGACTTAACAAAATTGCTTCTCAAAGATGAGCTAGATCACAGATCACCATGGCAACCACTAACATTTTGCAGTTGTATGCTTGAAAGAGTACTGTACATGATTAGTCAAGTAAGCAAGGTGCAATACAGGTTCAGTTGGGATAGGATTGAAGCCTTATAGCCCAGTACTTTCCATGATTACTTGGAAGTAACTGAGTTCAAGCTTGCTCATGGTGATTATGAATTCAGTCATTTTAAGATAAATCACAATTTAAAATCATGCTTTGAATCATTACCAGAAATACTTGATTTCTTCATGTGACTTCCCCCCAAAAGTAAGCTTCTTGTATGATTTTTGTAATCACAGTCTCCTTCTCCACAGTGACTCTAGTTCTAATCATTGTCTGTGCGCTTATACTTCCACTCTCAGAGAGAGAGAGAGAGAGAGAGAGAGAGAGACTGTATAAAATTGCAAAGAATAATAACTGCAGTTTACATTCTAAAGAAACCAGTATTTCTCAGAGAACTATTGCAAGCAACCCTGGAGAATTTAAAAGGACTTCCATGAATTGCTGACATTATGATGAGAAGAGAGAGAAAAAGTGCAAGGAATAACTTAAGTCAAACTTGGAAAATATGGCTGATCAATTTTGTTACTTCTCACGTTGTTACTGTATTTCCCTACATTGTTACAAGAATTTATACAGAAAGACATAAACCAGTTTGAGAACTGCAAACATTTCTACCGATATGTATGAGGCCAAGTAGTAGATGGGGGGAAGATAACTTAGATGATTAATGCAGAAGCGATATTGAACCCCATAATATTGAGACTCCAATCAAAGAACCGTCTGGCTATAATTACAAACTAAAAAAAAAAAAAGCCCTGCAAGAGTACATTGCCAGGGAAATCACCTAATTCACAGTGGCAATTTGCTTCTAGTTAAGAAGTTCCAGCTTGATTTTTTGGTTGCACACCAAGGTGTCTGGGCAATATGGAATGAAGATTCTAAGCAGGAACATGCTATTTAGTGGCAATTTGCCTGAGTTTACACCATTTCCCTTCTACTGTGGAAAAGGCAGCTCATCTAGGAGAAGGAAAACTCTGGTTTCAAACATCCACTGCCTTGTGGCTATATCCACTGATGGAAAAGGCTCCAGGAGTTAACCTTGAGGCAAATTCCAGAGCCGGAGTCCTGGAGGCAGTTCGTGTTGTTCTGACAACTCCTGCGACGTCGCTGGAACCAGTTGTATTGACTCTTGCCTTTCTATTGGACTATTTCAGAGACGTGGAGAGGGGGGTTTTGCTACTTGGGTAACAGCATATCCTCCGTATTATTTTACCCAAGCTTTGTGCTCCAGAGAAAACACTCCAGCTTCGCATACAACATTGAAACAACACGAGAAGTAGCAGTTACAAGTTATAAGTCTTTGCTCAATTGGCACAGAGCATGATGCCAGGGGCTACTTCTGATGGTGGGAGAGGTCATTGCACCTCACTAGGTAGCTAACACCCCCCTTAAGCTGGGCAGCCCACAGCCAGTAAGGTGCTACCTCGCCATGGTATGTTAATCTCATGGGGTGTATGGGGTTTAGGGTGAAAGCCAACAAGCAGATTGATAACCCTGCACCATGCAACAATTGTAAGAAAATTTCTGCCCTAAAGCTGGGCACCTGGAATGTTCGGAGAATGACCCCTGGCTTTTCTGACTATAGCTTTTCTGACCACCTGCAGGAAATAGACATGTGCAAGACAGCTGTCGTCAAAATGGAACTGAGTAGACTGCAGATGGACATTATTGCCCTGCAAGAGGCAAGATTGCCAGATTCGGGATCTGTCAAAAAAAAAAAAA